AGGGCACATCATCTCTGTGGTATCCTTACCAAAAATGCATAACCTGAATTTAATCATGAGAAAATGTCAAACAAACTCAAACTGAAGAACATTCTACAAAATAAGTTGAGGTAATAAAAGACAACAAAAAATGAAGGAACTATCCCCAAACGGAGAAAACAAAGGAGACACTACAGCTTAATGCATGGCATGGTCCTAGATATTAAAGGAGCAATTCATGAAATTTGGGCAAGGTCTGAAGATTAAAGTATTGTATCATAGTTAATTTTCTGGTTTTGATAATTGTACAGGATTATGTAAGATGTTAACATTTGCAAAAGCTGGCTGAAAAGTATACTAAATATCTTTGTACTCTTTTTGCAACATTGGGTAAGACAAATTATTTCAAGACGAAAGTTTTAAAATTAAAAAATTAAATGACATTCACACAGTGATTATGCAGCCATTTAAAAGGTTTATAATTAATCTGCATGGCATTGGAAAATGCTCAGTACATGGCATTATGGAGAGAAAAAAACAAAAGCCAGTTTATCCACTGAAAACTGAAGCCCAGAATGAATCCACTAAAATCTTGAGTGGCCATTTCTAACTAGAAGATTACAGATGCTATGTTCTCAATTAATTTTTTAGTTTCATATTTCCCAGTTTTTCTACCATGAACATTCACCACTTTTAAAATTGGTGGGAGGATGCTATTTTTAAACACGTACCATGAATTTTGCATCACAAAAATTTACTTAGACATATTTCTTCTCCTTGGTTTTAATAAAGAACATTTTTTTCAATACTTTGAGTTTTCAAAACTATGCTTTTGATAAGCCAACAATAAGTCTTGGATTATGTGAGTTTCTTAATTTGGCATCAGTAACCAAAAGTGCTTAGTCGTTTCCCTAACTACTTGGAAATAAATTCTTGGCCCTCTGTCTTCTTAAGTTCTGTGGATCTCATGTTGAAACAGTTGCTTCATTTCCACTAAATAATTGGAACTATTCCCTGGGTCGTCAGAGCAGCTCAAACCCATGCCCATCTGAATCTCAGTCAAGAATCGAAGGAACAGGAACCTAATCATTTTTCCTCAGCCCGTTGCAAATCAAGAGGGGAATGCATTTGTGCTGAAGACCAGAGTATTAAAAAGAAAGCACATTTTGCTAGGAGACAAGTCAAGGTGGCCACCAGGAGTCTTGGACCTCTTGGCTTCAGATGACAATCTTCTGAGTAATCCGGATGTTTAGCAAGGCACACTTGAGGGCGTGTAAAGCATGGCTCCTATCTCAAAATACCACCCCTGTGAGGTAATGTACATGACACCGTTGTGCACTGTGTCTGCCCCTTCCATCCAGGCAGTGGCCAAAAAAGCTGTATTTTCTTGGCTGTAGAAGAATTTTTAATTTCAAAACTTACTGACGCCACCCCTACCATCCAAGTACAATATGTCATCTACCAACATTTCACTAAGCAAGTAATTCCAGAACAGAACTGGTTGCAGGCCCACCAGAGGAGAAAGAGGGTGGGGAGCTGGGATTCAGAAGGCACTATGGACGGGCACCTGGAAAAGAGAGGTGCAGGACTCCTGCAGCAAGTACTGCCAAGCCATGGTCCGCTCTAGCGCCATCCTCCTTAGGCGTTCACTGCTACCTGCTTGGCCAGCATCAGCCTGCCCTCCCAGGGTTATGAATACATGCCCTCCTCTGCTCCATAAGCACTCCCCTAACATCAACCCGACAAGCTCAAAGCCAAGCCCCAGTTTATCTTTTCAGAATTCCTGCTCTCTGCCTCAAAGCCCAACTCCAGCCACAGTTCTGGGCGTTGTACATTGTTGCATCCTTACCCAGCTAGTTTTAGCTTTCAACCACAACTGTATCCCTGCCATCTCTGCTTCAATGTCATGTGTCATCTCTGCAGACCAAACATGACCCACCAGCTCCCAAGGCATGCAGTATCATTTGCTCAGTCACTCAGCCCATCGCTACCTGCCTGGACCCTCACGGCCTCACCACTTGCCTCCTGAGCCTTCCATGCCCCTCCCGTGTTCCACCTCCACCATCTGCTTTCTACACTCTGCCTTTTAGGGGCTCAGTCTCCCCACTAGTTTATACCATCTCCCGTGTCCTGTTTTTATTTATGCTTGGCCTTGTTCCAGAAAAGACAAGACAACACATACTCTAGTCCTACCATGTTTTCTCAGGTGGGTTTCTTAACCCATGTGGCTTCTCATTCTGTTTGCCCTATGAAGCACAGGGATCCAAGGACAGCGTTTCTCTGTGATATCAATTTCTGCACCATCTAAGACAGGTCAACAGTAGTGGCAGAGGCTATCATCGTAGCAAAGGGAAAACAATGGCAAAACCACTGATGTTGAACTACCAGCCAAAAGCTAAGTGAGGTATTAAGACAGTAAAGCCGGGAGCACCAGGACAGGAGCTCAGACCTCTTACCAGACAGATGCTGCTCTCCCGCTCCCCCTGCTGGACACTGAGGTCCTGGGGAGATGCATCCAAAGTCCACAGGCCCCAGCTGATCAGATACCTATGTTTGCCTCAAGGGGTGTAGACTAAACGTTAAAGAGAAGCCACACTTGCTAATCATATTTAATTATTGTCGGCCGGGCGCGGTGGCTCAAGCCTGTAATCCCAGCACTTTGGGAGACCGAGGCGGGTGGATCACGAGGTCAAGAGATCGAGACCAACGTGGTCAACATGGTGAAACCCCATCTCTGCTAAAAATACAAAAAAAAAAAAAAAAAAAAATTAGCTGGGCATGGTGGCGCGTGCCTGTAATCCAGCTACTCAGGAGGCTGAGGCAGAAGAATTGCCTGAACCCAGGAAGCGGAGGTTGCGGTGAGCCGAGATCGCGCCATTGCACTCCAGCCTGGGTAACAAGAGCGAAACTCCGTCTCAAAAAAAAAAAAAAAAAAAAAAAAAATTATTGTCAATGACAAATTAGAGTAACAGAGTACCCCTCAGTGGAAAAAGGTAGGTGCTGCTTTTTTAGACAAGACTGGCTCTGACCCCCCATTCTGTCACATTCTAGTTAGGATATTAGGAAAGTTATTCTGAGTGTCCCTGGGCCTCAGTTTCCCCAACTGTAAAGTACAGATGACAATACCCACCCCATATGGTTGATATGAAGATTAAATGAGATAAACAGTGCCTGGCCTGTTGCAGGCATCCAGTTGTTACTGTCCCTGCCGACTGGCACCTAAGCACAGCAAGTCCCTATCTTTACAAAAAACAAAAAATAAAAAAATTAGCCAGGCATGGTGGCATACAACTGTAGTCCCAACTACCAAGAAGACTGAGGCAGGGGGATCGCTTGAGCTGGGAGTTCAAGGCTGCAGTGAGCTATGATTGTACCACTGTACTCTAGCCTGCAGGACAGAGCAAGACCCTATCTCTAAAAAAAAATTTTTTTTTTTTTTAGTTTAAGTGACTGATAGCCAAGAGATGGAAGCAGGTAGAGATGATCCAGATAATGAAGTTAGAAAGAAAGATTTCAAAATAACTATATTAATATGTTATTAATATGTTAAAGAAAATAGGGGTAAAGATTGACAATGAGAATGAAAAGATGAAGTATAAAATCAGAGAATTAGAATCTTTTTTAAGAGAATGAAGTAGACATTCAATAATTGTAAAATATTCAGATAAATATTCTTAATTATCAGAAATTAAGAATTTATGAGCTGGATTCACAGTGCAAAAGAAAAGATTAATTAATTTGAAGACAGATCAAAGGAATATATCCAAACTCAAACACAGAGAGAAAAAATAACAGTCACCTTGAATATATTATCTGAGAAATACTCCCCTCATTCACTTCTCTTTTTCTTCTCCTTTCTCCTAGGCAACTTATTTTTTCTAATTTAAAAAAAAAAAAAAGGCGACAGTGGGATGTAAAATAATACTTGGCTAGGTACAGTGGCTCATGCCTATAACCCTAACACTTTAGAAGGCCGAGGTGGGAGGATCCCTTAGGCCCAGGAATTCAGGACCAGCCTGGCAACATAGGGAAACTCCATCTCTAAAAGAAAAAATATATATATATAGCTGTGTGAAGTGGCATGAGAGGATCCCTTGAGCATGGGCATTCCAGCCTAGGCAACAGAGAAAGACTCTGTCCCAAAAATAAAATAAAAATTTAAAACAAAATATACAAAAGGAAAGCTTGGAAAATATTTGCTCTAATCAAAGTCAAAAGACAAACGGGAAAAATATCTACCATTCACATCACAGATATAATTTCTATAAAATAGAAAAGGATCTATAGGCTGGGTGTGGTGGCTCACACATGCAATCCCACCACTTTGGGAGGCTGAAGCAGGAGGATTGCCTGAACCCTGCAGTTCAAGATCAGCCTGGGCAACATGGTGAGACCCCCATCTCTATTACTTAAAAAATAAATAATAGGCCAGTCACGGTGGTTCACACCTATAATCCCAGCACTTTGGGAGGCCAAGGAGGGTGGATCACGAGGTCAAGAGATCGAGACCATCCTGGCCAACATGGTGAAACCCCACCTCTACCAAAAATACAAAAAAATTAGCCAGGCATGCTGGCACATGCCTGTGGTCCTCAGAAGGCTGAGGCAGAAGAATCGCTTGAACCCAGGAGGCGGAGGTTGCAGTGAGCCGAGATTGTGCCACTGCACTCCAGCCTAGTGACAGAGCAAGACTACGTCTCAAAAATAAATAAATAAATAAAATAAATAAATAATAGAACCTATAAATTGATATGGAAAAGGCCAACATGCCAACAGAAAATGCACTAAACGAAACAATGCTTCTTAAATATGAAAACATTATCCATCTCACTCAAAGAAAAATGGTAATTAAAACTATGAGATGCTATATTTCATCTGTTTGGAAAGACCATTAAGTTTGATAACATATCCGTCAGCAAAGGTATGGGCAAAAGAGGCTTTCAGAATTTTCAGAGATCTACACTCCCAAACACACATCACTCTGCCATTCCTGGAGTCTGGCCTTTCTCCTCCTGATACAAGACAGCTATCATCCCTGCTAAACCAGACCCAAGTGGAGAATGTAATCCTGATCTCAGGTTAAGAGGTCACCAGAAGGAAGGCTATGGTCTCTCCTGGAATTCGAATTTGAGTGGACATCTCCTGAGTGCATCTGATGACCATACTGTCTGTCTGTGGGATATAAACGCAGGACCAAAGGAAGGCAAAATTGTGGATGCTAAAGCGATCTTTACCGGCCACTCGGCTGTTGTGGAGGATGTGGCCTGGCACCTGCTGCACGAGTCGTTGTTTGGATCTGTTGCTGATGATCAAAAACTGATGATATGGGACACCAGGTCCAATACCACCTCCAAGCCGAGCCACTTGGTGGATGCACACACTGCCGAAGTCAATTGCCTCTCATTCAATCCCTACAGCGAATTTATCCTAGCCACTGGCTCTGCGGATAAGACCGTAGCTTTATGGGATCTGCATAACTTAAAATTAAAACTCCATACCTTCGAATCTCATAAAGATGAAATTTTCCAGGTCCACTGGTCTCCACATAATGAAACTATTCTGGCTTCAAGTGGTACTGACCGCCGCCTGAATGTGTGGGATTTAAGTAAAATTGGGGAAGAACAATCAGCAGAAGATGAAGAAGACGGGCCTCCAGAACTCCTGTTTATTCATGGAGGACACACTGCCAAGATTTCAGATTTTAGTTGGAACCCCAATGAGCCTTGGGTCATTTGCTCAGTGTCTGAGGATAACATCATGCAGATATGGCAAATGGCTGAAAATATTTACAATGATGAAGAGTCGGATGTCACGACATTGGAACTGGAGGGACAAGGATCTAAAACCCAAAGTACGAGAGATGTTTCTGTTGAATGTAATGCTACATGAATGCTTGATTTATCAAGCGCCAAAAGGCTTTGTATAGCAGAAAATGTAAGTGGGGTGGCTTCTGGCTTCTTTATCCTCTGATTCTAGCACTTTCAAGTGAGCTGTTGCGTACTGTATCATATTGTAGCTATTAGGAAAGAGATGATTGTTGCTTAAGAAAGAACATCACCGTTGATTTAAATGCAAGTAGCAGCATACTGCCTTTGATTCAACTGTTTAAGTCCTCATTTTCTCACACTAAGTGCTTGCTGTTCCCAAATATGCGAGAGTAACTTTTACACTTTTTCCTTCCAACACTTCTTTTTTTTTTTTTTTTTTTTTTTTTTTTTGAGACGGAGTTTGGCTCTTGTTACCCAGGCTGGAGTGCAATGGCGCGATCTCGGCTCACCGCAACCTCCGCCTCCCGGGTTCAGGCAATTCTCCTGCCTCAACCTCCTGAGTAGCTGGGATTACAGGCACACGCCACCATGCCCAGCTAATGTTTTGTATTTTTAGTAGAGACGGGGTTTCACCGTGTTGACCAGGATGGTCTCGATCTCTTGACCTCATGATCCACCCGCCTCGGCCTCCCAAAGTGCTGGGATTACAGGCTTGAGCCACCGCGCCCGGCCTCCTTCCAACACTTCTTGATTGGCTTTGCAGAAATAAAGTTTTAAAATTAAAAAAAAAAAAATCATTTCACATCCATTTCAGAAAACATACTTCCTTTTCAGGAAGACTTCCCTGAAGTACCATAAAACACTGCTGCTTACATCTCAGTTATCAAGTCTGGGAATCTTATAGCTTGGCTGTCACATAACCAGCTAAAAGTGACACTTTCCGACCGAGTGCGGTGACTCATACTTGTAATCCTAGCATTTTGGGAGGCCAAGGCAGGCAGATCATGAGGTCAGGAGTTTGAGAAGACAACCTGGCCAACATGGTGAAACCTGGTCTCTACCAAAAATACAAAATTAGCTGGGCATGGTGGCAGGTCCCTGTAATCCCAGGCAGAAGAATTGGTTGAACCTGGGAAGCGGAGGTTGCAGTGAGCCAAGACCATGCCATTGTACTCCAGCCTGGGTGACAGAGTGAGACATTGTCTCAAAAAAAGAAAAGTGACACTTTGCAAGAGAGCAACGGAAATGGATTTTTGTTAGGCAATTAACACTCTCTTCCATGTCTACTTCTTTGATTGCCAAATATTGATCACACTTTCTCATATACAGAACACAGTGAATCTTTCCCAGGGATACAGTTCTCAAATTTCATCCAGATTCTGCAACCAGGTCAAAGATCAGGAACCCTGGGAAATGTGTACCTTAAGTCTGGTCCAGACAGCACCTCATGGTCCAGCAATCGAAAAACTTAAAAGTAAGGCTGGGTACGGTGGCTCATGTCTGTAATCCCAGCACTTTGGGAGGCCAAGGCAGGCAGATCACCTGACCAACATGGAGAATCCCCATCTCTACTAAAAATACAAAACATTAGCCAGGCATAGTGGTACATGCCTCTAATCCCAGCTACTTGGGAGACTGTGGCAGGAGAATCACTTGAACCCAGGAGCTGGAGGTTGCAGTGAGCTGAGATTGCACCATTGTACTCCAGCCTAGGCAACAAGGATGTAACTTTGTTTCAAATTAAAAAAAAAAAAAAAAAAAAGAGTTAACTGCCCCCCTCTTACCCAACATAGAAAGGTAGAGTAGAAGCAAGATTAAAACACTGAAACTGCCAATCAGGAAAGGAGAGAAAGGAAAACTTGCCATGGTCACTGATCTCTAGTAATATTAAATCTCATGGGGAAGGAAGAGTAATTTCCTTCCTAGGCAGTATCTCGGCCTTCAGTTGTGCTCTCTGGGAAACTCCTTCAAGGCCTTCCATTTTGCTCTCTTTGCTCTCTGAGGTTGTTTCTTGTCCACTATTTTCTGTTGCCTTATCTTAAGCATGCATCAGGGAACATCAGGGAGCTGCTGACATTCCGTAGCTCACTCTTTATTAGTGGTTGTATTAGTTTATTTTCAGGCTGCTGAAAAAGACATACCCCAGACTGGGCAATTTACAAAAGAGATTTAATTGGAGTTATAGTTCCATGTGGCTGGGGAAGCCTCACAATCAAGGTGGAAGGCAAGGGGAAAAAAGTCACATCTTACATGAATGACAGCAGGCAAAAAGACAGCTTGTTGAGAGAAACTCCCATTTTTATTCATTTATTTTTTTTTTAAGACAGGGTTTCACCATGTTGGTCAGGCTGGTCTTTAACTCCCGACCTCAGGTGATCCACCCACCTTGGCCTCCAAAGTGCTTGGATTACAGGCGTGAGCCACTACGCCAGGCCGAAACACCCATTTTTAAAACCATCAGACCTCGTGAGACTCATTCACTATTATGAGAATAGCAAACGAAAGACCTTCCCCCATAATTCAATCACCTCTCACTGGGTTCCTCCCACAACACATGGGAATTGTGGGAGTTAAAATTCAAGATGAGATTTGGGTGGGGACAGAGCCAAACTATGTTATTCCAACCCTGGCCCATCCCAAATCTCATGTCCTCATATTTCAAAACCAATCACGCCTTCCCAATAGTCCCCCAAAGTCTTAACTCACTTCAGCATTAACTCAAAAGTCCACAATCCAAAGTCTCATCTGAGACAAGCCAATTCCCTTCCACCTACGAGCCTGTAAAATCAAAAGCAAGTTAGTTATTTCCTAGATATAATGGGGGTACAGGCATTGGGTAAATACAGCCATTCCAAATGGGAGACATTGGCCAAAACAAAGGGGCTACAGACCCCACCCAAGTCCAAAATCCAGTGGGATAGTCAAATCTTAAAGCTCCAAAATGATCTCCTTTGACTCCAAGTTTCCACGTCATGCTGTTGCAAGAGGTGTGTTCCCATGGTCTTGGGTAGCTCTGCCTCTGTGGTTTTGCAAGATACAGCCTCCCTCCTGGCTGCTTTCATGGACTGGCACTGAGTGTCTGTGGCTTTTCCAGGTATGTGGTACAAGCTGTTGGTGGATCTATCGTTTTGGGATCTGAAGGATGGTGGCCCTCTTGTCACAGTTCCACTAGGTGATGCCTCAACAGGGATGCTGTGTGTGGGTTCCCACCCCACATTTCCATTCCACACTGCCCTAGCAGAGGTTCTTCATGAGGGCCCTGCCCCTACAGCAAAATTCTGCCTGGTCATCCAGGCGTTTCCATACATCTTCTGAAATCTAGGCAAAGGTTCCCAAATCTCAATTCTTAACTTCTGTGCACTCATAGGCTCAACACCACATGGAAGCTGCCAATGCTTATGCTTCCACCCTCTGAAGCCACAGCCCAAGCTCTATGTTGGTGCCTTTCAGCCATGGCTGGAGCAGCTGGGACACAGGGCATCAAGTCCCTTCTCTACACACAGCACAAGGACCCTGAGCCCAACCCATGAAACCGCTTTTTCCTCCTAGGCCTCTGGGCCTGTGATGGGAGGGGCTGCAGCAAAGGTCTCTGACATGATCTGGAGACATTTTCCCTACTGTCTTGGTGATGATATTTGCTGCTCGTTACTTACGTAAATTTCTGCAGCCAGCTTGAATTTCTCCTCAGAAAATGGGATTTTCTTTTCTATTGCCTTGTCAGGCTACAAATTTTTTGAACTTTTATTCTGTTTCTCTTTTAAAGCTGAATGCTTTTAACAGCACCCAAATCACCTCTTGAATGATTTGCTGCTTAGAAATTTCTTCTGCCAGATACCCTAAATCATCTCTCTCAAGTTCAAAGTTCCACATATTTCTAGGGCAGGGGCAAAATACCACCTCTCTTTGCTAAAACATAACAAGAATTGCCTTCGCTCCAGTTCCCAAAAAGTTGCTCATTTCCCCCTAAGACAACCTCAGCCTGGACTTTATTGTCCATACCATTATCAGCATTTTGGTTTGAACCATTTAACAAATCTCTAGGAACTCCCACACTTTCCCACATTTTCCTGTCTTCTTCTGATTCCTCCAAATTGTTCTAGCCTCTGCCTGTTATCTATTTACAAAGTCACTCCCACATTTTTGGGTATTTTTTCAGCAGTGCCCCACTCTACTGGTACCAATTGACTGTATTAGTCCATTTTTATGCAATTGATGAAGATGTACCTGAGACTGGGCAACTTAGAGAAGCCTCATAATCATGGTGGAAGGCAAGGAGCAAGTCACATCTTACATGAATGGCAACAGACAAAAAGAGAGCCTGTGAGCAAGACGCAGTGGCTCACACCTGTAATCCCAGCACTTTGGGAGGCTGAGGTAGTTAGGAGTTTGAGACCAGCCTGGCCAACATGGCCAACATGGTGAAACCCCATTTCTACTAAAAATACAACAAATTAGCTGGGCATGGTGGTGCACACCTGTAATTCCAGCAACTTGGAGGCTGAGGCAGGAGAATTGCTTGAACTCAGAGGTAGAGGTTGCACTGAGCTGAGATGGTGCCATTGCACTCCAGCCTGGGTGACAGAGCACAACGCTGCCTCAAAAAGAAAAAAAAAAAAAAAAGAGGGAGCTTGTGTAGGGAAACTCCCATTTTTAAAACTATCAAATCTCAGGAGACTCACTCAATATCATGAAAACAGCACATGAAAGACCCACCCACATAATTCAACCACCTCCCACCGGGTTCTTCCCACGACATGTGTGAATTGTGGGAGTTACAATTCAAGATGAGATTTGGGTGCGCATACAGCCAATCCCTATCAATGGTTCAAGTCTAAGTGTTCTTGAGAAAAACTGTTTTTTGTTTTTTGTTTTTACCCCCACCCTGTTTCCATGCCCCTTTTTTTATTTTCTCATTTGGGCTATCCTTGATGCAGAAGGAAAAAGAAGAGAAAGTGCTTCTGTGCCTTTTTTTCAGTTTTGAGTAAAACTCTAAGATTATTATTTACCTTTTAATATTCCTGTAACTTTGCTTCTGGCAGGAAAGGAGAGCATCAGCTAAAATTTTCCATATTAGTTTACCTATGTCAACATCAAAGTTTTCAATACTTAACTTAAAAATCCCCCTGGACTGTTCGGCAGAGAAAAACCAAAATCACATATTTGTTGAGTATCTACCACATATGGTACACTAAGGACATCGGATTCAAGAATATCCTGGTCCCCATCTTGGTATGGTGGTTACAGGGTATACACAATTGGCAACACTCAACAAATTGCATGTGTACTTAAGATCTGTTCACTGTGGCTGGGCACAATGGTTCACGCCTGTAATCCCAGCATTTTGGGAGGCTGAGGCAGGTGGAGCACCTGAGGTCAGGAATTTGAGATCAGCCTGACCAACATGGTGAAACCC